ATTCACCATATGTTTTGATCACACCTCATACTTTAAATTGATTAGTTTTCTTTTGGGGATTAAACATTGCATCCTTTTTTTTCCTACTTTGCTTTAATGGAAACACTGTAAGCATTATGGGAAAAAATACTGAATTCACTTTTTTCATGACACATGAAAAATTCATTTTACATTGTAATGTGGTATTTCATCCAGTTTGTCCTCTTCATGTTTCCACAGAGAAGCTTCTTAGTGGCATTTTGGTATCACACACCTTCCCAGAGAGGCATAGCATATCAAACATCTCAAAGAGATATGCCTGAGCTAAACAGGTTAAAAGTGGCTTCCAGAAAAAAGCATGGACACTGTGCAAAGACAGGGCAACTGAGTGTCCACTGCCAGAGTCACATAGCAAAGGACTCTTGGGGGAATCTGGCAGAGGATGGCTCACAAGTGCCCATAGTAATGCTACCCATAGGTTGCCTAACCTCAGGAGCTCAGAGAAGAATAATGGGCCAACGTTTAGACTAACAAGGGTGAAGAGGAATGGGCTGGGAATCAAAGGAGCCTTCTCAGGAATAACGGGCAAGTCTGGGGAATGTTACATCCATCCATCCACAATCATCCATCTAGCCAACAGTCTCTGAGCTTCTAGTAAGTGCCAGGAATTATTCTAGATGCTGTGGAGTGATACAGGTAAACTCCACAGTTCTCCTTTATTTGAGACCAATAGGCATCTATAATTGAGTTTTTTCAGAAAGGCAACCTTTGGTTTGGAAAATATTCTAATTCTTACAAACTATACAGCCCACTTGGGCTACCGGTGCTTTCAGATGTGTCTGGCTATAGTCCATGGGCCAAGGGGCTAAGAGAGACTAGACTGGGCAGATGGTTTCTGGAATCACCTAAACACCAGATTCTCCCTGTTCCGTGTTTCAGGCAGTTGGCTTTTCTTTTTGTAGTGATGGAAGATGCAGATTCGAGATCTCACATCACACAGGGGTTGCTGGCTTTGATACAAGCCTGAAACTTTGAGAGGACAGAGGAGACATCAAGCAAGTCAGATGGGGGATCCACATTCTACCCATTCTGGAGCAAGAAAGACACAATTTTCACTCAAGCCAAGAGGTTCTGGTATACTGGGTGGAGGACAGGGCTAGATAGCATCTGGGGACTAGAGATGGCCACTAGGGAAAGAGCCACAGTAGGGAGCTGGAGAGAGGCAGAGCCATTCCTGATAGGCACAAAGCCCTCTCAGAGCTGACAGTTTGTAGAGAAGGGAGATGTTCCCAGGTTGAGATCCGTGGGGAGAAGTATACAGAAAGGAGTGCAGGCAGCCTCAGTCTGCTTCATATATTTAGATCATTTCTGGATTATCCATTTTTTGGCTCACTTCAAAAGGGATCCAGAATGACTAGGATGGCACAAAGAGTAGAATACTGTCCTACCAGGAAGAATGGTGACATCAAGAGTGTTATGCCCAGAACCTGGCACCCTTAGGTGGGAGAGTGAAGGGGTGAGAGTTGTCTTAACATGTGAAGAGCCATCCTTAGAAGCAGGCAGGCATGGATCCCTGGGCTTCTAAAAGGGGCGAGTGTTGGAGATTGCATCCAAATCTACTCAGAACAGGCTCAGGAGTTCATACAATAAGATGTTCAAAAGCAGTTGCTCTTGGTTAAGATTGTGGCATATACAAATGACTTAGACTGGTGGTTCTTAAATCAGAATCACCTGCAGGCCTTTAAGAAAAATACTGACCCCAGATATTTTTATTTAATTTGTTGGGGTGTGGCCTCCACATCACTGTGTTTAAAAAAGAGAACTAAGGAGGAACAGATGACAGCTGAGGATAGGGGTTCCGGACTGAGCACAGACCCAAGGACAGAATAGGTGTTGTATGGGCTACCTACTGCCTTTTGGTTGCTCCAACTTTTATTCTACCTCTTTCTATTTTACAGTCTACAGAGTAAGATCTTTCTGGCTAAAACAACCTTGAGATTTCTTTTCAAATAAAATATCAATAGCATGTCATTCATAACATTTTTCACATTCTTCTTGTTCTTTATTTGGAATCTTTGTTTTTGAAAATACAATCTGTTCTTGTGTTTCAAAATGGTGCCAATATTGCTTGGGAGAAGTTTAACATGTGCTGCTCATCAGCAGTACCCAAGACAGAAAGATATTGGGATGCTACTGAAACTGACCATGTGCCAGCGGGCCTGAGTTCCACTTCTGTTTTTTGCATTTGATACAAGTGACTTTTTAAAGCACTTTACTAAACAAAGTCAAGGTTATATAAAGTTTTCACAGAGAAGACTCTCAAGCTACTTGGTTTCATTTCCATTAAATGGAGCTTTCTCATAGATTCATTTATACATCAATAAATTAATCAACACAAGTGTTAATTATGTGCCTACTCTGTGGAGCTCTAGGCTAAACACTGGAGGCCTATCTAGGAGTTTATGCCTCTGATCCTCACTCTAGAGGCTGTAACTCACTCACCTACAGCCCTTGTGGGAAAAGTGGTCTTCAGACCATCAGGGCATAACTCAGATTTCAGGTCCTGAGGGCCAGGTTCTCCTCTGTGGCACTTTGCCTGAAACCCTCACCCCTTCCTTGACTTTCCTCCTCATCTTTCTTCTTCCACTGACTGGCTGATCTTACCCAGGAGAATTTCTGAGTGAATCACTTGCTCATTAATCCTCATTGATGTCTGCTTCTGGGAAACTCAACCTAAGATGATTGTCTCAAACAAGAAAAAAAAATGGAGTAAACAAACATATAAACAATGGTGCTGAAACTGTGACCTGGATGCTAGCAAGAAAGTAGGCAAGTGAAGGGCAAGGGAAAGAACAGTCCAGGCATAAGGAATTGCTGAAAAGGCCCATGTGGTGGTTGAGACATTGAAGGAGGCTACTGAGACTGCAGAATGGGGGCGAGGAAGCAAAAGGCATGGAAGCAGTAGGAGAGGGGACTGCTCATTGTGTTCCCTGAAGGTCACCAACCGGGAGTCTGCATTGTATTTAACTCTGAGTGATCAGCTACCTAATGATATTTTAAAAGGGATAAAAGCAAAAATACTGGAAGAGGAGACTGAACAATCGACTCATCTATTCAAAGGTTTGATTTTTCCTCTGTTTTCCAGAAGAAACATGAGAGTAATGTTCCATACAATCTACCATATCCAGATTTCACCCAGCATAGGCAAGTACAGTAGTGGATGGTTTGCTGATGAAATGACTATCTTCTGATATTTGATCTCAAGTTGCAGAAGGCCCACTCCATTTCATCCTGGCTCCCTCCACCACCAAGCCTCCCTAAAACACCCCTGTTGTCTCTGTTAAATCATTTTTGTGTCTATATTTTGAAGTCTAAACCTGCATGGATAATGTCTTATGTAAGGTTGTAAGATTCCAAGCAATGTATTCTGTTTCTAACTATACTCCTTTAACTCTGAGATATGTTATCTGCCTTCACATATTCTATTTGTTTTATGATTACACAGACTTCCCTCATATCCCTTGGTATTTCTCACCTTTACAAACATGAGATTTATAATTATTTGTCTTCTAACATATGGCAGCACTACAGATTGGCTTACTTTTTGCTTATAGGTACTTTTGAGGTACAATGTGAAACTTACTGAAGCCTCAGATTAACTGTACAAAGGAGACATTTTTCAATTAACACTGCTGTACAATGGCATGCACCTCTTTTTTTTGTAGATTTTTAAAGACTGGAAAGGGGCTATTTTTCCTAACACAGTCTAGCATTTCTCTGGTGACAGGTTCATGACACACAATGCAGTTCTCATTATCTAGAAGGAAAACATAATTTCTTGTGGGATATTCAGCCAGCTACAATTTCTATGACAGCCAAGGTAGTATTATCCCACTTCCTTCCACTTATAATGAAAATACAACCCTCATTATAGATCAGCCTGGATAAGAATCACTCAGCACACTTTCCACAGTAAAGGCTTCTTTCTTACCTCCTTCTATTCCTGTCTCCTCCAAATGAATAGAAGCACCAGCTGTACACCATCATACCAGGATCCATAAAAATAGAAGTGTTTGTTCTTCATCCATGTGGACATCTCCCTCACCCTTCTAATGATTTGAACAGGTACAGCTCCTTGAACAAACAAAATGCTTCTTATATGAAAATCTAACTTAAAAATCCCAGTATACTGAGAGTCAGTAGAGCTGCACCTTCTCTCACATATTATAGTTTCTTTCTACATATGAGAGTTCATCATGCATCCAAAACTACATGTTGTTGTTGTTGTGTGATTTTTTTCTTCTGTTTTTAGGAAACACTGTGAAATGGTTTTTGCTAGAAAAAAATGAAAAATATTGGTAAAAATAAAAGTTGGGCTAATCTGGAACTTTAATAGCTTGGTGCAACAGTAATTGCAGTTTCAGACCGTGAATTTTAAATTATTATAACTAGGCTCAATCACATCTTTATTAATCAAAATAGGAACCATTACAATCAAGAAATAAGTTTGTTTATTCCTGTAGCATAAAAATCCATGCTTTGGGATTTCGACGAACTCTTGGAAAGCATTTTCTGCATCCTGCTGGTTGTGGAAGCATTTTCCCTGCAAAAAGTTGTTGAGATGCTTGAAGAAGTGGTAGTCAGTTGAGCCCTTTCTGTTGACCAATGCCAGCTGCAGGTGTTGCAGGTTTTAGTGCATCTCATCAATTTGCTGAGCATACTTCTCCCGGTTTTGCCAGGATTCAGAAAGCTGTAGTGGATCAGACCAGCAGAGGAACACCAAACAGTGATCATGACTATTTTCTGGTGCAAGTTTGGCTTTGGGAAGTGCTTTGGGGATTTTTCTAGGCCCAACCCACTGAGCTGGTTGTCATATAAAATCTACTTTTCATCGCATATCACAATCCAATCAAGAAATGGTCCGTTGTTGTTGCATAAAATAAGAGAAGACGACACTTCAAAATGACGATTTTTTAAATTTGTGGTCCGCTCATGAGGCATCCACTTATCCAGCATTTTACCTTTCCAATTTGCTTCAAATGCCGAATGACTGTAAAATGGTTGATGTTGATTTCTTCGGCAACTTCTCGTGTAGTTGCAAGAAGATCAGCTTTGATGATTGCTCTCATTTTGTTGTTGTCAACTTCCGATGGCCCACCACTACACTCCTCATCGTCAAGGCTCTCATTTCCTTTGCAAAACTTCTTGAACCTCCACTGTACTGTACATTCATTGGCAGTTCCTGGGCCAAATGCATTGTTGATGTTGTAAGTTGTTTCCACTTCTTTATGACCCATTTTGAACTCGAATAAGAAAATCACTCGAATTTGCTTTTTGTCTAACATCATTTCCATTGTCTAAAATACATATAAAATAAACAGCAAGTAACAAGTCATTAGCAAAAAAACAAAGTGATAAATGCACATTAAAATGATGTATAACATAACCACATTTATTTAAGAATGTATTCCAATATCAAAGGCAAATTTTAACAATGTAAAAACCACAATTGCTTTTGTGCCCAGTAGCATGATTAAAAGACAGCTGAACTGTACTGTAATATGAGGACTATGCTTCTCATTACCCCTTTAAAACAAAACATTTTCATCACCAACACCTTGAATTCAAAGCATGTGTGTCTTTTAACAAATTTTATGTATAATGCTTATCATCATTTCCTTTTTCTTATAATATCATGATGTGATAAGTAGGATATGATGTTTTCATCAACATTGGCCATGGATAAATGCTACTCCCAAGGTCTCAAGGCTAATCACTAAAGAAGTCTTTTTTATATGCATATTAGAGAGTTACTAAAGTGCCAAAGTCAGTGACAGGCTTGTGAGAAGAAATGTTTTCATAAGTCATTGACCAGTTCTACATTACAGTGAACTCCAAAGGATCCTTTATGTTTGTACTAAATTTTGTTTAAATGAGCTTTACTGGAAATACATGGACTGGCAGCTAAACATGGGGAAACTTTATTAAATTAAAATTTGGTTTATAATAAAAATTTTATTGATATTTGTTTTTTTTAACTAAAGTTTATTGGGGTGACATGGTTAGTAAAGTTACATAGGTTTCAAGTGTACAACTCTGAAATACATCATCTATATATCACATTGTATGTTCACCACCCAGAGTCAGTTCATCTTCCATCACCATATATTGGGTTGTCGGAAAAGTCATGATGCCTTTTTGCAATGAAAAACATAGAAAAAATACGTCATGACTTTTCCAGCAGCCTAATATTTGATCCCATTTATCCTCATCTCCCACCACACCTCCCACTTACCCGCTGGTAACCACTAAACTATTGTCTATGTCTATGAGTTTTTGTTTCTTTATTTGTTTGTCTTGTTCCTTTATTGCTTTAAGCTTTATATCCCCACATATCAGTGAAATCATATGGTTCTCAACTTTTCTATTCTGCCATTTAAGAAAAGATGAAATAGTGCCATTTGTGACAACATGGATGGATCTTGAGATTATTTTGCTAAGCAAAATAAGTCAGATGGATATCTGTTTTTAAAAAGTATGGAAAAGATTAATCAAAGTTATGGGCCTTCTCTTCATTGCTATTCAAACCACATTTACCCAAGTTAAAGAGCATTTAGCTCACAGCTACATGTAAATATATAAAACCCGATTTCATTACAGTAATTATAGCTTTACAATGACAAAAAAAAATCCAGTTCTCTAGCAATGATTCCCTTTCTGAAGGCAGCCACAGGTATAACAGGCCTCTTCTCACCCAAATTTTGACTAGTGGCTCAAAAGACACAATTAAGAGATCTGATCAGTACAAGTTTAAAAAAAGGCTTTTCTTTCTTTGGCATACATATTTGGTTTGATGACCTCACCCTTTACTTATCAGAAAGTGTTTCAGGAGAATATGAAGAATGATACCATTTGCATTATTATGACAGATGGATTTATTATCTCAGAGATTCTCTCCTTATCAAATGGCTATAACTACAAACTTCAATGCCTTTTACTGATTAAGATGATAATATGTTTATGAGAATATAAAATTATTAATATTTAGTTTAAGAACTATGCCTTGAGTTATACATTTAAATTACAGTTATTCTTGATATGGAAAATTAAAATGATAAATAGCATACTACTATTCCTGTCATGTTTACATTTCACAAAATATTTTTGAATTTTTCTTTAGAAATTTTAAGTGCTGGCATTCCTCATTTTATTGTGCTGTACTTTATTTAAGCACTTTGCAGATATTGCTTTTTTTACAAATTGATTTGTGGCAATCCTGTGTCAAGCAAGTGTATTGGTGCTACTTTTCCAACAGCATTTGTTCTCTTTGTGTCTCTGTGTTACATTTTGGTAATTCTTGCAATATTTAAAAATTTTTATTATTATATTGGTTGTGGTCATTTGTAATCAGTAATCTTTGATGTTACTATTATAATTGTTTTGGGGCTCCCTGAACTGCACCCGTATACGATGGCGAACTTAACTGATTAATATGTGTATTCTGACTGCTTCACCCACTGGCCATTTCTCCCAACTCTTTCTCTCTCCTCAGGCCTCTCTATTCTCTGGGACATAATAATATTGATATTAGGCCAATTAATAGTGCTACCATGGCCTCTTCAGGTGAAAGAAAGAGTGGAACATCTCTCATTTTAAATCAAAATCTAGAAATGATTAAGCTTAGTGTGGAAACCATGTGAAAAGCCAAGACAGGCAGAGAGCTAGGACTCTTGCACCAAAGAGGTAGCAAGTTGTGAATGCAAAGAAAAAGTTCTGAAGGAAATTAAAAGTGCTACTGCAGTGAACACGTGGATGATAAGAAAGTGGAACAGCCTGATTGCTGATGTGGAGAAAGTTTTAGTGGTCTGGATAGAAGATCAAATGCCCACAAAATTCCATAAGCCAAAACCTAATCCAGAGTAAGGTCCTAACCCTCTTTAATTCTATGAAGGCTGTCAGAGGTGAGAAAGCTGCACAAGAGTCATAGTTTCTGGATCTTTGAATTCCTATCTAAAACAGACAGAGCAGCTGGATAGCAAAACCAAAAACCATGGCCAACATTTTCAACAAAGTTACGTGACAAGATGTCACCTCAAACCTCAAAATACAAGCAAGTAAAGACAAACCACAATCACCACATGACCTGCACAGTATCAGCATCTATGTTAGAAGAAGGAGGGGGAATCAATGGCGTGATTGAAGGGCCCAAGACTAGAAGAACCTCAAAACAGCCAAAAAGTACTCACTGAAGGCCAATAGCTGGGTGTGATACCAACAGAGACAGTTTAACTGAGAGAACAGGGAAAGGGACAGTCAGAGAGCCCTGCTAAAACCACGATCCTCCAAAGGCTACCTGTGCTCATGCCCAAGGCTCTACTCTCTGAAGAACAACACCAGAGATTTCACACTACAAGGGAAATAGATTTCACTAGAATAGCCAGGCATGTAACTAAATAAATAAACAAGCAAACAACAAGCTCCAGGGAGGTGGGGAAGTGGGGAGAAAAATTGTTCAGAGTTGCTACAATACATTATCTAAAATGTCTAGTTTTCACCAATTATGAGACATGAAAAGAAATAGAAAAGTATGACCATACACAGGGAGAAAAACAGGCAATAGAAACTACTTGAGAGGGCCCAGATGTCAAGCTTAACAAAGACTTCCAAGTAGCCATTATAAATACATTTAAAGAACTAAAGGAAACCATGTTTAAAGAAGTAAAGTATGATAAAAATGTCCCATTAAATGGAGAATATCAGTAAAGAGATTTAAATTATTAAAAAGCACCAAATAGAAATTCTGGTGAGTACAATGTTGAATAATATATTGAAAAGTACAATAACTGAAATAAAAAATTCACCAGAGGGGCTCAATAGTAGTTTTTAACTAGCAGAAGAAAGAATCAATGAACTTGAAGATAGACTGACAGATATTATGCCATCTGAAGAGGAGAGAGAAAAATGAACAGTGCCTCAGGGAAATGTGGGAGACCATCATGCACACCAGCATATGCATAATGGGAGTACCAGAAAGATAAGAGAGAGAAAAGGGAGGAAAAAAACCCCTAAAATAATGGCTAAAAACTTCCCAAATTTGATGAAATATGTTAACATACATATCCAAGAAACACAACTAATGACAAGTATGATAAATGCAAATCTACACTCAGATACACTGTGATAAAAGTTGCTCAAAGACAAAGGGAAAAATCTTTAAAGAAAACACTGACGTCTTGGTTGGATAAATTATTATGTCCAGGTATAGAATACTATGCAAACATTTAAAAG